GCCTTCATGGTAAAGCAATTAATGATTCATTGATTCGTTTTTAAAATAAAAATGGTTAAAAATAAAGTATAGTAACTGTCAAAGCAGCAATTATTTTTTATTTATGAGGCACTGGGCGATGTGTTTGATTTGTAAATTTGTAAAGCGTATTAAAGCTTTGATAAAGCCGAACACACCTTTCTAATTTGTATTTCTTGTTTTTGTTTTGTGAATGCTAAACCGCTTTCGGTCTTCACATATTTTATTTGTTGCAGTTTGCTCGTTCTCTATAAAAATTATGCGCTTTGCAGCATTATTTCATATGCAAATATAGTACATATATATGCAAAACGGTATTGTGCATCCACATGAATATATACAAGTATATATATGTACATATTAAAAAAATAGTTACATCTAACCGTTGTTAAAATCCTTGTTGTTTTTGCTAGCAAACCCGCCCCTCCCTCCAAAAAAAAAAATAAACAACTAAAAAACATATGTTTTGTTTGCGCTGAAACACTGACCAAATATTTTTACATAACAATGGACCGAAAAGATTTCAAGAAAAAATGTTATGCACACTACTTGTATGTTTAAGAGCGAATGCAACTGAACATTGATTAATACATGTGAGCTCACAGGAACATACTTTTTGCCCAAGGCACATTTTAGACACATTCCTCTAAAACTATCAGTCTGCACTCCGATTAAGTTGAAGATGAATAGCTTGCCTGGGAGCAAGTTCATGAATGGAAGGCGAATGCGCCCCGATTTTTGGCATTTGCAATATATTCGTCATCAAATAAAGAAAACTTTATAAAGCTAAACTTAAAAACAATTAAATTGTTAAAATGTTTTTTGGTGAAATTCCTCACTTATGTGTACAGTTTCGACAAAATGACAACACATTTTTCGAATATACAACAGTGGACAAATTATAATGAACCTGTAATAACTGACTGCTAAAAACTGATTGTAATACTTTAAGCCAAAAATCTAAACAGCGAAGTATTCTGCTTCAAAAGCAGTGCAGTCTTCATCTTCGTCTACGGCTACATGTTTACTTGTCGAGATTTTCATAGTTTGGTTAATTAAAAACATCATTTAATAAGTATGTTATTATATACGCTAATATTTGATCGAAAACTATAAAAAAAATTATAAAAAAATACATAATCTTCCACCATCTTAAATGCGTATGTCAATAATCCGAATTTATTCCCATTTAAATAAGAGAGACGACACAAGCAAACCAACAATATATGCAGTGTGCATAAAAGTGCATGAAAGTAATTAAATTAAATAAATAAATAATGGATGTATAAATAAAAGCCTGAGTTAAACAATTCTTTCGAGTGCCGTCTAAATGACAATATTTCTAGTACTAACAACATCTAATAACTTCTTCAAAGACATTAAGAGCGTATCTTATGTACATCATTAAAAACAAATTTTGTTTTCAATTTGCTTGTAAGTCATGAACACGTACCGCCGCTGGGCACTTTGTCCAACATTTAGCACAAACATGGCTCGGAATTAAACGAAAAACCAAGACAAAGTCACAAAGAGCACAACAATTAGTGTCTCTATTATGCAGAGCAATAACAACAGCAAACAAAGAGGGGGGAAATTGCGCAGAAAAGGGCGTGGCGCACACCACTGATAGGAGCCAAGTGAAAGCAATCAAAACAAAAACTTAAGTCGTGTAAACAATACAAAAACAAAAACAAAAATAAAAACAACAAAACAAAACGTTTATATTGACGTTGATGGCGTCGGCGCCAACTACAGACAGAGTATGACAAAAAAAAAAGAAATGAAATTGTCAGCGGAGATTGGATTTGGATGGCTTTGTCGGCCAAGCGTCGCCAGCTTAATTTCATTAAAATTTAAGCAAAATTCAATGGTCTGTAAATGAATGGAATTCAATTGCAGCCCACGCAAGAAACAAATTGACGAACAAGAGAAAGATAAGCAGAAAGAGGAAGCGAAGGAATAGAAAAAAGAACGCACGCGCGCCCCTTGGATGGCCATAGACAAATATGGGTGTTTGTTGTTATTTGCTCTGCAACTGTTAGTGCTTTCTGTTTTATTTGTATGTGTGTGTGTGTGTGTGTGTGTGTGTTCACACTGACAGTGCGCAACGAGTAGTTGGAAATAAATACTAGAAGTAGCCGCGAAAGCAGGGGAAAAAAAATTTATTTCCTGCGTAAAAACTTTCCGAAGTTTTTCCCATGCTTGCAGAATTTTGATTTACGAGCACTTAACGTTTTTTATGGCCTGCAACAACTGCGAGTATATCGGCTTGTGTGTGTGTTTGTGTTCGAATTCGAGTGCGAGTGCGTCAGCAGTAAAACAGTCGTGTGTGAATATCTATCTTGGTTGAAAGGATGTATGGCGACTTAAGTCAAGATATTACTGCTGTCTAAGCCTAAAAAGCACATCGGTAAGCAGGCTGTGCACCTCTGTGTACAATGTAACCAATGTTTTTCTTTGGCTAAATTGTAGCAAAATTCCTTACAGTCATTCTTAAACTTCACTTATTTCGGGGGTACACCACCATATGCCATTTTCAGTAAATTTGCAGTTGAAAATTTAACGTTTTTCCGTTTATACGAGCATAATTTTAATTTAAAAACTATAACTTCCTGAATATAAACCTAACCCAAAATAAATTAGGGGTGGATAACAGGTTGTATACCTGGATCCCCGAGGTGTATTCCCAGCTTTTATTGTAATTTAAAGATTGTTTGTGACGTTAGAGCTAAAGTGTAATAAATTTTAAATTTTTTAATAAGACTTTTCTCATATGCGCATCACTGAAAGTAAAAAGTAATAAATAGAGGGAAAGTCCTATAAATAAATCAAATCAGTTCATTTCAAGAGAAATATCGTCGTCTTTGGTTCAATTGTGCGCGCAAAGGTCCAAATAGCGGCTCCGAATAGAAATGGACTAGGTACTGGGCGGGATCCCTGCAGGTAAGGTACTGCCGTAAACGAAAACAACAGCTTTGTTGTTTTTTCGCTTGAAAAAAGCACCAGGGCTGCAGCACGGGGCACGTGGCACGTTGAAGCCACACACATTATACTTACGCAATATTAGAACAAGATTTGAAACTTAACTTCATTGTTTTCTTGTTATTTCTCAGCGCCGAGCTTAGTCTATTGTATGCAAATTTAGGATGCGAAGGCTTACAAAACAGGCCTATTATGGCTGCAGGGGCTAGCTTAGTTTTCAAAGCATACTTCTGGGGGCAACAGTTTTCAATTTATTAACATTGTGCTCAGAAGGATTTTATAGCGATTGAAAATAAGTAAATAATGATGTTCATAAGAAATAGTTCCGGTCGCACTTTTCTTTTATTCGTAGCAACTGTTTTCAATGACTTCATGAGAGAAGTGACAATCCCTTAAATTATCCCGGGAATTCCAAATAAAACAAAAATGCTTAATTTTAGATTTGATTTATTTTTGTTGGCAAATGAGCGTTCCCTTTTATAAGTAGCTTCTTCAAGCTGTTATCATTCCCCCATCGCACAAATTGCTATTATTATTATTATTATTTTTTTTTTGTTTTTTTTATAACGTTTCTAGCCTAGTACCGAAAAAATTGATGTCATTGACAATATCGGAAATCGTTCGTTCTATGTACTCTTTGTTGTTTGCATTTAATATTAATTTAATTGCTTCGCTTTCTGACATCATAAAAAATGCAGCACGCATTTCGTGGGTTCGCCTCTGTGGGGTGTACTTATATTATTGAATTATTAATTTTTTGTGGGTGTGTGTGTGTTCGTGTGTTTGTGTCTATGTGTGTATATAATTTACGATTACATATTATATTTGTTTAATTAATCAGCGTTTGCCGTTGGTTTTTGCCTTGTAATATAGTACAGTTACATCTAATATTCGAAGATTTGGGTTCGCCAGCTCAATGCATTGTTGCGTATACGCAATGTTGTCAGCTTAGTTCTCATTTAATATGCCACTCCCAACACGTTCAACGCCATTCTGCATAATAAATACCATATTTAAACGCATTAATATTTGACTTTACATAAATTATGCAAGCCCGGTATAACAACAAAAAATATATATATTTGCGAGCATTATGAAGTGCAAACGAAATGCTACTGAATTTATTATAATTAATTATTTGAGCGCTTATCAGTGCGCAGCTGAAATTATGCAGTTCACTGTGTAGGTTTGAATTTGGTAGCAATTTAGTTTTTATTTTTGCTCTGGTTTGTTATTTTAATTTTTGCTGTGTTTTGTTATTTTGATGGCTTTATATAGCAGTTGCCTCAAGGCATACAACCGACCAGTTTTCGAACTTAAATATGATTTGAACAACTTTGCATGAATCGAACCAGCTGAGCTGAAATGAAATGTATGTATTCAAAATAAATTTAATTTAAATCACACGCAAATATTATTAAAGCTTAATCTTAATTTATTTGCTGAAGAACCAAAATAATACAGCTGCTAAATATTTCGAAGTGATGTGGAAAACGCTTTGAAGAATAGAATAATCTTTTAAGACCTGAAATCACAAGCAATCCGACCATTATTAAGAATTATTGCAATCAGCTTTAATAGTCTACTACTGTTCCCCTTCTTTACTAACGTAAATAATTGTGATTGGTATTCCGATTTCAAGAATGTACAATTTTAAATTAATTGCTTGTTGTGCGGCTGTATTAACGAAATAAGAAACTGACTGACTAACGCTCATTGCATTAATAATGATAATGAATGCATTTTTATATCAGATATGCAATATAATTTGTTATTGTAAAAGCTAAAGATATTGTGGCTTCTAAAGACTGATATTCCTTGGGAAATTTTTATTACTTTACCAACAGAGGGATTACAAATTGTGCACCATTCTGTGTGCGGTTCGATTCAGGTCAGCTGGCTCGCTCAAAAGAACAGCACGAAGTATGCAGAAAGTTCAATCTGTGATGTAAGTTGCTTATTCAAACAATGTGAAATCTGTTCACTGCAAAAGCCCGCTAACTGTGAACGCCGTTGTCGTCGCCGTTGCTGCCATGGCCAAGCGCTCGGTTTGATTGGATGTCGTCTCATCTGTTACCGCTCGCCAAAACTCAGCACCAGCCAGCGCTGCCGCAGTGCGATTGGTTTGATCGTCGCGGCGCGTTTTCACCACGGCCTGCGCCTGCGGTCACGACGACATATAAGTGCATTGGGTCTTTGGCTGCGGCTCAGTCTGTTCGATGGGTTGAATGGCGGCGCGTTTCCAATAGTCGCGCACATTCTCCACCGTCTCCATAATGCGCAGAAAGTTCTTGCCTGCCAGCATGGCAATGTCCTCCTCACTCCAGTTGTGATCCTCCAGTAGAGCGGCCAACAAGTCCGGATACTTGGACACATCCTCCAGGCCCAGCGGTGGCTGCTCAATGCCATCATAGCCTGCGCCCAGTCCAATGTGCTGAATGCCCGCAATGGCCCGCACATACTTGATGTGCTCGATAACATCCTGCAGTCGCGCCTGCCTACCACAGGCCACGTCCTCCGAGTCGAAGCTGAGCATGATCAGGCCGCCGTTCTCCGCTACCAGCCTCAAGATATCGTCGGGCACGTTGCGCGTCGAGTTGCAAAGCTGGCGGGCTGCCGAATGGGAGAAGATGACTGGCGCCCGCGTCACCTGAAGCACATCGCGAGCTGTGGCATCTGAACTGTGCGATAAGTCAATCATCATGCCCAGGCGATTCATTTCGCGCACAATGGCCTTGCCAAACTGGGAGAGGCCCTGCTCAAGCGGGGAGGCACTGGAGCCCGCCCAAGAGACGTCACAGCGATGTGTCAGGCTGAGATAACGCGCACCCAGTGAGTAAAAGGAGCGCAGCACGCCCAGCGAGGAGCCAATGGTGTGGCCACCTTCGATGCCAATCAGCGAGGCTAACAGACCGCGACGATGCGCCGCCACAATGTCCTGCGACGAAGTAACGAGCACCGTCTCCTGCGCATACATGTCCGACAGGCGCCGCACAATGTCGATTTGTTCCAATGCCAGCTGGACGGCGTCCAAGCCTTGCGCCTCACATGGCACATATGCGGACCTGCAAAAAAAAAGGCGAACAGAGGTTAGGATGTGGCAAAAGGGGTGATACAAATAAAGTAGTTGGAAGTAATTAAAAAGTTTTAAAAGGTAAGCTTCTACAACACTTTTAACTCAGCTCCCCTTTTGGTGACTTAAGCATATGCGAGTACAGCAAATTATAAAAGTTCTATTTAAAAGCAAACTATTTCGTTTTACGAAAAGTTCCCTAAGCCAAATGCAATGCACTGAGCTTCAACTATATATTCATATTTCAAAACAGCTTTGCACTGATTTCAAGCAGCCATACTTTAATCTTTTGAAATGAATGAAATGATTTACTTTAGGGACCTCAGAATAAGATTCAAAATAGGAGGCGAATGGCAGAGCTCCTGAATACAAGTAGTGGCAGCCAAACCGCCGCTCATATAAAGAATTTCATTACTTCAAACGAAGGCAGCTGCCAGAGGCAGGAGCCGAAGAAGGGATTGGACATGCATCGGATTCTTAAACTAGAAAAATATTTCACAATGTTGGCTTTATTTAATCCCACTCTATCTTTATCATAACTGTTTAAAAAATGAATCTACAAAGTTTTGATCACTTGGAGCCGAAGCTATTTTTATTTATTTTTCAATCGCTTGAGCTAGGGTGCAATGGAATATATCGCCTAGCGGCATAATCTGTGCCATTTGCTTATTTGAATACAAATTAGCCAAGTGTGTGCTTCTCTACCATTACCATTACCATCACTATCATTACCAGCGTAATCATCATTAAGCATCGTTGGCAACTATTGCCAGCGAACAGCCGCAAATGAACCAAAAATCACACATACGCCATGTGGCCCGCTGGCGACGAATGAGCAGCAGCAAAGGGGTGGGGGAAAGTCAGTCGGCAGCGGCAATTCGATACGTAAACAAATAAAGCAATTTCACAACAAACTCGCCTCTAATGACAACTCTTCAACTCCCATGACGACGCAATCAAAAGTGGAGCCGCAAATTACATTTGCACACGTGTTAAATATATGCGCATACATATGTATGTACTTAAATACATATATAGTATAGAGTATGTATAGTACATACGAGTATATACTTGGTTGTGTATGTATGAATAGCTTATAATGAACATATGCATGTATATATCCTGCGAGACAGTCTAAGCTGAGCATGTGCCGAGCAGTTCCCTCGGCAGCGGCACTGAAAATTGCAATTACTCAACGCTCTCATAAGTTTGGGAAATGACAAGGTTCACTTGAAATAAATAAAGTTAATGGATGTCCCTCATGTGCTACAAAGTTGTTCATTATATTTAACAGACTTTTATTTATACTATTAAATGGGGAATTAGTATTGTTGAGGTGAGTTTTATAAGAAATTGTACACATTAATGTGCAATGTGTATTATTGCAATCGGAAGGCATGTTCAAAAGTCCGTTTCTGTCGGCTACAAGGGGTTTGCAAAATTGAACATAGTGAAGGCCATAGCGAAGGGGATTCCCGAGCTAAAAGTAGTCACATGCAGTACATAAGCAGACAACTAGTACATAAGCTAAAAAATATATAAATAAGCGCTCGTTTATTTCCTCTTTCTTCTCTCAATAGTCTGCTCAACAAACAGGCACATCATATGTTTAATTCTGTTCACATTCAATGGGCAATGTATTTTATCGTTCATTAAGCAGTAATTAAGGTATTTACTGTTAGTCTTAAGCTTACAACTCAAACATTTATGAGGATTCGGGTACGTAGAACACCTGCTGTAATTTTGCCAATCCAAGGCCATTCAAAGTTCAGTCGAGTTCGTGTTTAATCGTTGCACTTAAACTGCTCGTAACTTTCTATTCCATTTCAAATGCAGTTTAAAATTGCATTGACAGCATAAAAGTATTTTAATGGCTGTCAGAATGAACTTTGAATTTTAAAAGCAATGCAATGGCAATAAACGGCAGCAAGAACAACATTACGAGCAACCAAAGCGATAGACTCCAACTGGGCGAGTCAGCCAATGTTCGGATGCACAGTGGAGCAAATTATTCCCTTGGTTCGTCCAATATAATTATTACGACCACTCTATGACTCTTCGAATGTTCTATTACTAATGTACTAAGATTTATGGCTACCTCTATCCTATTAGTTTCACTCATTCGTACCTTTTATATACTTGTATATATTTAACCAACATTTTATTAAATGAATAAGTAGTTTAATTAGTTATTGAATGAACATCAACTCATGTTGATTTTAAATGTTTTAAAAATCAATTTTTTTTGCAGATATCTTTTAATGCTAAATCTTCAACTATGATTGCGAAATAACAAAAGAAATGGAAACATTAAAAGTATTTCTTGTTTCGATCGAAACTATATCTTATGGAATTTATTCCTCATGCTACACGACCATCTACTTATCATAAAAACCTCGCACTCTCTGTTTTGTAGAAAGCATTTTATTTATTTGTGTAGAAAAATAATCACAAATGAGTTGTTGCAAAGTTTCTCAAACGCTTGCTTAATATAGTCCATAGATTTCTAAGAATAACCATTTCTTTTCATATAGAATTCGAAGCCATTATTTAATTTATAGTCTCCAATTATGGGTGGTTGAAAGATTTTCTTAACGCGATTTTCATTTAATTTGTCCCACAGTGAAATGTAATGCTGAGCAGACTGGACGTCTGAACAATGACGATCACTAAAATTAAATGCAAAAATTTCGCCAAACTGCGCCATCTGGCCACGGTAGCTGGAGTTGAAACTGAATCTGCCATTGGCAGACGAACGACTAAACAACTGGAAATGGCAACAAAGTCTAGTCGATTGCCTATCAGCATTTTCCCCCAAATGCAGCTGTCTGCCGTGTGGCAGGTCATTGTTGTTGTTATTGTTGTTTTTGGCAGGTTGTTGGGAAAAACTTTGGCTGGGTGCGAAAGTTGGCTGCGAGGCAGACAGGTCAGCCAACACTGGCGCAGCAGCCAGTAGCCAACCGGCTGCCAAATTTTATTTTGCCGTTAAATTGTTGGCAGCCCTTCGGCCTTGGGCATGGATATGGCCCAAAAGTTGTATGGCTGTTTGGAAGTTCCTTTGTGACCTGTCTATGTTTGGACAAATTGTTGCAGGTCAGTCAATCCGCTTGATTGCATTTTTATGAGAATTTTCAATTTGATTCTGATTTGTAACTGCGATCCGAGCATTTGCATTAGACTACGGCTCATTAGCTACCAATGGAGCCCCCAAAGGCTGGTCAGCCAGCTGGTATTAATGCTATAAAGGATGCAGCTTAAGTATTTACTAAATAGGAATCAAATCAAGAATTAAAAAATTGTCCAAGCGGTAAAATGGGGTTATTAAACATTTTTGAGAAATGGGGAATGCTTCCTTCAAGCATAAAATCCGCCCCTAATAAAATATTTTAAATTCTAATAGACATAGTGGCTGTGGTGTTAGCATTTTGTAAACTAATTAAAATAAATCACTGAAGAATCTGGTCTGAAGATATTTCTTGACCCACCTTTTTTCGGAAAAAAGGAAGAACTCTCAAGTGAATTTGAATTTATTTAATTCTTATTAAGATCGCTTAAGATAATCACTGCTTACCAGACTTGGACACCGACTAGTCCTTGCTTGAGCCGCTCCATGTCCGTCTGTGCCCATGTCGGTCGAGCCCATAGCGCCTTATGGTCCAGATCATGGCTTAAATGGACCAGCTCCAAGCTGCTGTGCGCATATTTGCGCACATTCCACGCAAAGTTGTTGTGTCCATCGACGAGCGGCACCTCGCGCAGAATGCGCCTTACGATTCTCAGTCTTTGTGCGTGCGAATTACGGCTAGGAGCCATCAGGAAGTGCTGGTAGGCGAGCGTGGCCGCAATGGCGAGCAGACAGATGGCACTCACCAGCGTCAGAGCGACTAGCCAGGAGCCGCGTTTTGACTTGTGTGCCGCATTTGCTTTGCGTGCACTCTTATTCTTGCCGCTGCCACCGCCACCGGTGCCCGCAGATGCTGTTGCCGTCGAAAGGGAGGTGGGCGACTTGGCGTCGAGGGCGGCCACGATGCCGCCCACTCCGCCTCCAACAACTATGCCGCTGCTGCCAAAGTTCACTTTAGACTTCTGTATGCTGGCAATCTCGCCACCGGAATCGCTGTTCGAGATCGAGTTCTGGCGGGACAGCGTGCGACGTATGTTCGAGTGCTCTGTGACATCTGGCAGGCCGCCAAAGCCTGTGGTCTGCAAGTGGAAAGAAGCAAAAAGGATGTGTGTGAGAAAATGTAAGCTGCCAGCTTTAGTTGAATATAGTAGAGAACTAAATAAAACAATTGACTGAAAAATCGCGCAATGGTCTGGATTGCTTTCTAAATTAAGAAAACATACAAATTATTTAGCTGGAAATAAGGCAATTAGCTCTAACAATTAAACATTAACTAACAATTCATCTTGAAGAAACGCACTTCCTATTCGACTTCAGTTGAAAAAACCGCACACTCATTAGTGGTTCTTTAATCAAATTTAAAAGAATATTTACTTTCCATTTGTTGTACTAAAAGTCCCCTCTTCTTTGAAATACTTCACATTTGTGCTCAGGAAGAAAGGAGAAATAAAGTATTGTCTTACTTGTATTACATATGAGCGCAAAATTCAAAAGTTCATTAAAAGTGCGTCAAAGTTTCGCGCTTTAATTAAAACTATGCTGTACAAGTTGCGTTCAGGCTCTTTGTAATTTTCATAACTGCCATGGCAACAACAACGCTGCCAATGCTGGCTCAAAGTTTCCAACACATCAAAATCGATGAAGGTTGTCAAAGATGAAGAAACAATGTTAGGCGACGAAGTCTGTGCCGAGTTAATCCCATACAAGCCACCGGATGGTGCTTTTCAAAGCCCTAGGCTCACCTGCCTGACATAATTAAGAGCTAGAAATAATTCCACCATTCAACGTGCCACATACGGGCCGAACACACAAACACACACACAGACACACACACGCATGTACTCGTGTGCAACACACAAGAAAACTTTGCCACCAAACTTTTCTATACAGTCAGTGCTGTGATTTGTTCAAAGTGCCAGTGTCAGAATTCTCTTAGTTTGCCCAAGACATGACATGTGGTTTTGTTTTTGGAGGTATGCTTATACTATATATAAGTATATATTTACATTGCCAAATATTAACAACGAAGAATATTGAATCCGTCTATAAAAACGTACGAGTACAAAACAAGTTTGTAAACATCAAAACTTCTATTGCTTCTGCACAGAAGGGCCAAAAAATAAACCAACCGAAAACACACCTGTCTATACGAATATCTAAGAACTTTGTTCTTGTATACTACAAATTGGCTAAGCCTGCTATCCCTTGTTATCCCTGTGCTCGTTTAGTTAAATCGACAAGAAAAAATTGCTTAAACCATGCTCATGAATTTATCTTATAGAGAATAGGGATGGATTTAAGAAATCTCAGCTTAACAATATTTAAATTTATTTTTTGGAAATAAAAACTCTTCTCTGTTTAAGAACTGAAAAAAGAAAATCTATATTGTTTCATAGTACATCTATTTATAAATACTCTTCCTACCGTTAAGCAAATAAAGCTGTTGAATATTATTCTTTTATAATGTATTTTTTAGAAATTTTATTAAATGGCTAAGTAACTGATGAGCCAGAATATAGGCTCTTCACTTTTGAGGAACTGTGAAAAAATAATTGCATTTATCGAATTAACTTTCAAGACTAATATATGCGGAAAATGTCTTCATATTATGGCACCGCAATTAATTCAATAAATTATAATTTTTTTTTGACAATTTAATCGAATTTACATGAAGCTTGTGTGATATCTCAAAACTTAATATTTGGCATATAAGATTATCTGGCCGTTAACATGAATGAGATCGAGATTCTAAGGACCACAAAAAAGAAACTGAGTTATTAATATGAAGAGCGTTCAAAAGCCATTAGCATTAAGACAATTAAGGCGGTTCTGTTTAAATCAGATACATTTTTGGAACTAAGAGTACTCAAAAATCGGAGACAATTGAATGCTTTTGCCGCTGCCATCTATGCCAAATATTTGAGTTTGTATTCATGAAAAGTAATGACTGCAAACAGAAAATCTATTTCGCTTCTTAACTGAACAAATATAAGTTGGTATTAAAGCAGGTATCAGTTCAGGCCATAGCCTTAAAGGCAATTCACATCAACTTTTTATCTCGTTGCTTGAGTTTTTACGGCCAGCATGCGGCACGTGCGGCTAATTAGTTGAAAAATAAATATGCAATACGCGGCGTATGCGCAATGCCCTACAATGCAGATAAAAAAGAAATTTTCATTCATAGACATCAAAGCGGAATATTGTGCAACTTTCGTTTTGTTTTTGTGCAAGCACGAAAATTAATTAAATGAAATACACGGAGCTGGAAAATAGGCTGCTTGTTCTGCCTGAATTCCGCCTGAAAACAACAGAGCAGCCGGGCATGGGAGCCATTTCATTTGAAACTATTTTAATTATGAATTTCAGGCTCTATATTGCGAAATTAACTTTTATTAATGCTGTCGAGCAGCGAAAACAACAAACTTTTAGCTCTGCAAGTAATAAATGGTGGAAAATATAAAAATAGCGTATGCTTCGACAACTGCTTCATAAAAATGGGAAAAAATGAAGGAAAATATCCCTATTTTTTCAAATTTTTTAATAAAAATGCAAATATTTTACGCATACTTCCGCTTGCTGCCGCCTGAGTCCTTCTCCATCATGCTCATTGCGTTGCACCAACTTGCGACTTTTTATATTTGCTGCTTAAATAAAACGCTGAAAACTTCTGGCACGCACCCCCGCACCCGCACCCCACTCCCCTCAGCACGGCCATCATTCAAACTGCTGATGCTGATGCTGATGCAGCTGCTTAAGGGGCGCATCATCGAAACGCTGCGCTTCTGCCTGCCAAGCTCAAGCTTGGATGACGGGTGGGGGTTGGGGAGTTGGCGAAACTTTGTCATGGCTTGCCGACTGGCGTACCGGCAGCCGGAAGCAGATTCGGCCAAATTTTGCGCGGTCTAGTGCACCCCAATGGATTGCAAGAAGAAAGACACAGCCGGGTCCTTGCAAACTACGCTGCTCATGGTCGTGGTCATGGCAACGGGAACGGCAACTAACCGAGCTCGCAGCAGGTGACAGCAGCTTGTTGCCGAGTTTGTGGAACTGCTAGCTTTTAATTAGTTCTATTTTTGGGGTCTGTTCTGTAGCTGATACAAGCACGATGAAAACTACGAGTGTTTACAGGCAAAGCAACAGGAACAATTAAAACATTATGCATAGTAATTGGTACCAATTAAAAAATTTATTGCGCTGCCTCATAGCTGTTGTTGTCCTGGTGGTTAGCTGTCCTATTTGAAATTTTCAAATAAATTGTTGAATTGTGCTTTTTAAATGTCCTAAGCAAATTCATTTGTCAGCTATGTGCTAAAGTAAAGTGTACAGTTCAGTTATTTTGGACCAATGAGAAATTATTTTTCTTTTGTCTTTTATAAATGCTCAACGGATTATGCTTTTCACAATCGTTTTCGGGATGTGTGCTCAAATTATAATGATCTTTCACACTTAGTTTCAACAGAACTTTCTCTGTGCTCTATAAAAAATATTCTCTATAATTTTGCCCAATAGGCTTGAGATTTTCTTTCCTATATTTATCTTTAAGTAATCTTATTTAGCTTCAAATTTGGAATTTTTTCCCTTTTAGTTAATATTTCAGGGGTAATGTATTTTTTAAGCTAATAAGCTATAAATAAATAACTAATTAAAGTTTCATTTTAATAACAAACATTATATAAAAATCAAATCAATTAGAAAAGATATTTGTTTGAAATTTAAGGATATTAAAAATATTACTCTAACAAATTGTGAAAAAGTAAAATAATGAAGAAAATCGTAGTAGGCGATGGTTTTTAAGTCTATCGGCAGATCCACCTCGATTTATATATTTTCCAAAGCAAGTAGGCAAGTAGGGATAGTTTCCAATGGTCACAGAAATACGAAAGCATATTCCTCTCCGTGCCTTTGAGCAAGTGAGACGTGCTATAGCCCTCGAACAAAGGATAAATGTCTTCGCCATGCCAACGGTTCACAGGACCGATAATAGGATTGAGGGGGCAAGAATCGAAGTACGACGACTTGGAGGAGAACCGTTAGTAAACCATCCACGGCAGCAATCCATTGATATCGAGATGAGAACTGATATTTTGAATAACACACCATAGTTACAGTAAGCTCAGAAAATCAATGGCGGCCGAGTTTATTGTTGTATAATATTTTTTAGGAACGCACTCAACAATCTCTGAAGGCATACAGTACTTGTATAACAATGCCAACTGTAAAACGAAATGAAAGAGATCGAGAAAGGCCAACACTATTGAGAAGCACAATAAATGTAAAGGATTGTTATTAACAAAGGTTTGTTTTCTTCTTCAAGTACGTTTGTCTGCTCTTCTAAACAGATGGTCGTCACACTTTTAAAGTTATATTTAAAATTTCTCTGTTAAACTATTTAGTATAAAGAGCTGATTTAAATGCATGGGTTATTATTACAGTTGTGTCACAGCTCGTAACATTTTATTTTATGAGATTTGGCTTGGCTGTAAAAAAGTTCTCTGCCATGCTACACAAAGTGAAATCAAGCAGAGGATTCGGCCACGCACAAATCCTGTATTGACTTTTTCAGAGGCTCCGTCGGGAAGGAAAATAAGTGACTTTGAGGTAATGGTGCGGGTGAGAGTGGGAGTGGAGATGGAGGTGGAGGTGGGGGAGTGTGAAGAGCGGACGATGAACAAATTGGCTTCATTGTTATCGCGTGTCCCGGGGTACAAAATTCGTACAATTGAGCTTTTAAATAAAAATGAGGTAGGCGAATCACAGCAGCAACAGCAACAGCAACGGCACCAGCACCAACATCCACTGTAATAGCAACAACAAGTTGGTACTTCAAATAACAACAGCAACAACTAGGTACTTTGGATAACAGCAACAACAAGAAGAGGCAACTACCAAATGGGCAGAACATCAACAGAAGCAAGAAGGGTCGTTCACATGACAAAAGGCAGGCGGCAACAGGAACATCAACAGCAACAGTAGCAGCAGCAGAAGCAGAAGCAGCAGCAGCAGCAACAACAATAGCTGCCACAGCAACAACAAATGACAGCTATAACAATGAAAAAGGCAACGGGACAACGACAACAACAAAAATGTTACGGCAATGCTTTATAGTTTCCGTCATTTTGTTGCTATTTTTTTCAGAACATTCTTTGTTATAACTTTTAGATTTGTTTTGTTGATGGTCCGAGCGTTAGCAGAGAAAAAAAAATTACACCAGTGTTGTCACTGGTTGTCCAAAAATGTGTCGCATATGCAACATTCCCACTGCAACATTCCATTCAGGAGCTGAAGCTGGGAATCCAAAAAGAAAAAAAAAATTGCTTTGGGTCATGTACTCGTACGTGGAAAGGAAGTTGCACGTGTTAGCACATACGGGTAAGAATGTGGTGGAGAGTGTACACTGTTACAAAACCGAAGAGCTATTACTTTATCTAACAGTACTGCAATACTTGATTATTAATGTGTAAAAGCAATTTGTGAAAATATAGTGGTCTTTAGTATACTTATATATTTTGAAAGGAAGCATTGAAGAGGAAATACACGGTTTTATTTTATTTTTTAATGAGAGCACAATAAATAGCAACTCTGTTTAAATTAATACATAGTCTTATAAACTGCATTAAACAATGGAAGACGATCAATATCAATAAATGAGTCGAGGTCTCTTCTTAAATAATAAAAGCTCTCTCGCTTCAAGGTTGCATTAATCGCTTAGTATGGTTAGAAGTTTCCATATTTTAAAGACTCCCTTTTTTATATGACTTCTAAATTAGTAATATTTAGAAAATCAATATGAATTTTCATGTATGACGGAGGAGCCACATTTAAAAGGTGTTTTTATAGTGGTATTATTTATGCAATTGGATAATAAATATCTTGTGAAATAATGTATCTTAATGTATTATATTTATATGTTTTTAAAAGAGTAATGTTTTATATTTACATTTTTTTTAAGATTTCAGTTTGATTTAATACTAGTTGGTCTTATATCGCTGATGATTTGTAAAACTATCCGCTATAGGTTTATGCGGGAAGACCCTCTAATTGGATCGATTGAATATTACTTCTTCAGATTACTGTCATTGCAACGTTGCAACGTGTTTTCTTTCAGTGCCGTCAGCAGTGCTTAGGCATCTGGTTGAATGACACTTGGCTGTCATCGGAGTTGTTATTGCTGAGCGTTGCCGCCGTCGTCGCCATTGCTGCTGTCAGCCACAGCTCTCACAGCAACTCATCAATGTACTCGAGTTTTTAGTGTTTCATTTGTCATTCGAATATTTCGCGCTGATGGACAATGCGAGCAGTAATGGAAAATACTGGCTAAGCAATGAGTAACTGCCACCCTGTCCTTGCCACCGCACAGGCACCAACACAAATTGTCGTGCTCGAATGTAATTTCTTGCTTCCTCTGCCACAGTCTGCGATGGCGTCTGGACTGAGGCTAAAGGCGATGGCAGCATCAAATGTTGGTGCGTGGGTGTAGAGTATGGTGTATATATGTGGGTGTGGAGTATATATGTGGATGTGTTGGTGTTTGGCATTGCAGCGCCCTCTTTGTTTGTTTGCCGCTCGTTCGAGTTATGTGGCTGGCGGTCAGCAAAGGGGACCGTAGAGAACTGCCTGCCTGTCTTGTCCGGCTGTGTGATTGTTTGTGTGTGGCTAAGTCTGCTTGTATGGGTTTACATATTTGTGTGAGTGTATACGTGCGTCTATATTTGTACGCCTGCTCTATGTGTGTATTGGTTTGGACGCAACTTTAACGCTTTATGTGTTCATTACACAATTTAAACTTGCCTCCTGGCCAATTTCGCTTTAATGTCTTCTTACCAGAGACATTTGGGCAAAACTTTTAGTCGAGACAGACTCAGACAGTTTATGAAATGCCAGCAATCATTAACTGTGGAAGTTTGTCAATGCTCTTTATTTTTATTAAATTCTATTACATGTTCTTGCTGGACAATAATAATGTGGCTGGCTGTTTATCGTTTTTGGCATACAAAACACTTACCAGATTGCTGTCTGCACCCGGTGGAAGTTTCTGGAGATTACGAAAAAGGAAAGCGAAATAAAGGGAATGGACAAATTCTAACTTTCAGATAAGGTAATGAAATGTGCAGCCAAAAAGAAACGAAAAACACAACAAAGATATTACTAGAGCCTACAACGTGTAAGTCTCAGAAAATGAATTGGGAAAATTAAGGAAGTTTTTCTGTTGTCAAATGTTATCTGAGGATAACCAGCGGACAAAGCAACAAACATCATTTGAACAAATCATGAAATTTGTTTTCTTTTGGGTGTCTGATTTGTTAGCCCTAATACAATAGATATTATTTTAGGCTTAATCCATGGGCAACAAAATGCTTACTTGTATAAAATTGCAAAAATGTTTAATTTGATAAGAGTTGTCAAATGGGAAAAGTGAATACTAATAGGTTGGTTTAATTTCAAAATAAACAATATTAAATATTATTATTTTTACCAAATTATAATTTCTCAAAATCTTTAAATATTTATTTATTATGGTGTTTATTTTAAATTGATGATTTAGATTGACCATGGAAGTTGTGATTTCTTTTGGGCTGGTGATTGACATATTTATAAGTAGTAAATACTTGTATGTATAAATTGCTTTTCTAATTAACATAAGTAGCTTTGGAATAAATTTAGCGACGAGGGTTTTTTAAAAAGTGTGGTTGCCATACTCTTATTTTGTAAAGAAAAGTTTACATTAATAAAGTGCTATTTTAAGTCTGGTTATGGAATAAGTGAAAACGACTAAACATGATTAAACAATGTATTAATTAAAAAAAAAAATTTTGAAAATGTCTATTGAAGGCATTACTGCTTTTATCGATCTCAACATTTTCTTCAAAGAAACTTGCTGGCGGTATATTAGACGTCCTCCACTTGTGATAAAGTTACCGTAACGACCGAATCATAAACTAAAGAAAAACTCATTCAGTCAATTGCATTCGGAAATTTATTTTCTCTTGCATACCAAAACGTAGCAAGTGTGCCAACTTGTGTCCCAACAATTCAAGTAAACAAACTATTTTCATCATTTGTGCGGAAACTTGATGGACCACAGCTGAAGTGTGGACTCAAAAAGCAGCGCCGGACCATACTGAAATAAACTTTTGCAACATACAAAGGCGAAATGCCAAACAACTCAGACTCGAGGCTTGAAGCTCGAACAAAGGGAAACGTCAATGTCTGGAGCAATTTGCTGCTTTCCCATCCATCAATCACATAAAAATGTGGCTTCGACTCCGCCCCTGGGCGACGCTTTTTGGAACAGCAAAAGCCGAAAATGCCATTTGCCAAACAGAAGCTGGAGCAGAAGCTGCCACAACCAAAGCACAATGAACAATGTATTGAGTGGAGTACGCGACTGGAGACCGGAAAGTGGGTGAACCACAAAAACTATTTGTACATGGAAACGCAAACGCAGGGAAGCTAAGAGAAGTGGAAAAGGTGCTGGTGTTGGTGTTGGTGCTGGCTTTGGTGTTTGCGTTGGTGTTGCCCACAGACAGATGTGGCGAAGTAAAAAGTTTCACAGAAAACTTGCCTCCCTAGAAGGGAGGGTGCTAAGAAAAAGAAAAGTGCAGACTCAACATTTAAATTGAGCGCTATGGTCGGACAGGGCAGTGTGTGTGAAGTGGGCGATTCAATCAAGATTGACCGCAAAGCAGCTGCCGCTCATCGAAACAATGGACGTCGATGAGTTACGGCGGAGCTGCACAGGACACGGTGAGAACTACTGCAAAACTTTATGATGGAAGGCATTGAAGCAAACTGAAACACGACACGGACGACCACGTAGCGGGCAAAAAGATAAGCCAAGATAATCATGGACGGGACAGAAACATGAAACGCAACAAAGCGCCAAAATGGCCGAAAAAATGATGAAAACTATAGAACACAGTGGTCGTCGATTTATGTGTAGGGCTCTAAAAATGTTGTTTGTTTTTATTATGTAACTGACAGTAAAACTAAAAAAGCATCATAATTTCAAATATGAGGAGAGATGAACTTCGTATAAAACGTCAAAAAATTTGTCTGATTTAAAGCAGTTGTAAATGGTGATGTTTATAGAACGAAATTAAAAGTTTCCAATAACTTCAACTCCCTGTTTTGTGCTCATCATCTTTTCATTTGCAGTTCTTCTTAAAATAAACTGATATATACATTTGTTCAACTCATAAATTATCATAACGACAGAATTACATTTAACTCTTAAGGACCCTCTAATATAATACAAGTAAGACTAAATTCAGAATTATTTTTCCATTATTGATTT